CACATCCAGTGAGCTAAATTCACAGTAGAACAAGGTGCTCACAGTACCTTTGACTTTGTCCTACTCAACACGATTATCAATGGCCCGAGACATGAACAGTAAACCAGGCTTGCAAGTAGTACAAAGTGGGAAAGTGACAGCTCGTGTCACTGATTGCTTAATTGTTGCCTCCCAACCACATCCTCTTCTGCCTAGATCAGCACATCCCAAAATGGGTCCCACAAAACACTGACCCTGGAAATGAGACTGAAAAATAGTTTCCCAAGTTCAAAACATTCGAAGAATTCTGCCTTTCCTTCCTTTTTAGTTACCAGCATATCAAAAGCTCCAAGAAACCCTGTAATAAACAAACCTCTGTGCTGATTTAACTTAATTTCCCTAATATCTGCTCTTGAAACACTTTCACTAGTAATCATTAACATCAATCAGCCCTAAGCTATGTCAAATTTTCTGTGCTATAAATTATTCACTCCCCTTGTTATTACTGCCTTAACACTCTTCCTCCTCCAAATACCGTATTTTTAAAAAAAGAAAAAAAAGTGACACTTCCTGCCCCCCATTTCCTTACCACCCACTCACTTTTCCATCACTCAGAACCTGGCTTCAGTCCACAGCGCTCTACTGAAAAGTCTTGTCATGATGTGATCAACTGCACAGATAGCAGAACTGATGCCTTCTTGTGGGCCCTCAATCCCTCTGCAGAGTCACACAAAGATTCACACTTCTTGAAACTCTCTTCCCTCAGCTTCAACAACACTGCATTCCACCCATCTCTTTATGTGATCTATGTTCCTCTTTCTCTTTCTAATCATCAAATTCTCAGGTCAACTCTTACTTCTCCCTTGAGTAAACTTCTCACAGTTTGAACTATTGCCCCTTCACAGATCCACAATTCTAATCCCAAGCCATTTCCCTGACTTCAGATTCACATTTCCAATGAGCTACTCAACTTGTTCACTTTACGTTTCTCCAAGGGCTGTGCATTCAGTGTACTCCAACCACTTCATCAATTTCCCCACCAAACTTTCTCCTCTTCTTGTCTTCTTGATTTGTGTTATGGAATTGCCATTCCTGGAGGGTGAGGGGGCCAGCAGAGTCAGGTGCTCTCTCCTCAGCATGCACACAGCACTATGAATATACCTCTGTTAAAGTACCTCTCACAGCCCAGCCAGTGTGGCTCAGTGGTTGAGCGTCGACCCATGCACCAAGAGGTAGCCGGATCGATTCCCAGTCAGGGTACATGCCCAGGTTGTGGGCCTGATCCCCAGTGGGGGACATGCAGGAGGCGACCGATCGATGTTCTGTCTCATCGATGTTTCTATCTCTCTCTCCCTCTCCCTTCCACTCTCTCTAAAAATCAAAAAAGTAAAAAATACCCCTACATTCATAGCAGCACTATTTACAATTGCTAAGATCTGGAAACAACCCAAGTGTCCATCAATAGATAAATGGATAAAAAAGCTGTGGTACATATACACGATGGAATACTGTGCAGCTGTAAGAAAGATCTCTTATCATTTGAGACAACATGGAGGGACCTGGAGAGTATTATGCTAAGTGAAATAGGCCAATCAGAGAAAGACAAGTATAACATGATCTCACTTATTTGTGGAATATAATGAACAAAACAAACTGATGAACAGAATGGACCCAGAAGCATGGATGTGGGGTAGAGACTAACAAACCTCAGGAGAAAGGAGTGGGGGGAGGGAAGAGTTAGACCACAGAACTTATATGCATGTATGCGTAACCAATGGACATAGACAACTAAACTAGGGGGAGGAGATTGGGAAGAGGGTGTCAATGGGGGAAAAGGGGGAACTATCTGTAACAAAAATAAATTAATAAAAATAAAGTAAAAAATATATATGTATATGTATATATATACATCTATATACACATACATATATAGATATATATAGAGATATACATAAATAAATAAATAAATAAATAAAGTACCTATCTGGAAAACATTATGGTGTTTCCTCAAAAAATTAAAAATTGATCTGCCATTTGACCCAGTGATCCCACTTCTAGGAATATAGCCTAAGAAGCCTGAAACACCTATCAGAAAGAATATATCTACCCCTATGTTCATATCAGCATTATTTACAATTGCTAAGATCTGGAAACAGCCCAAGTGTCCATCAGTAGACGAGTGGGTAAAAAGCTGTGGTACATATACACAATGGAACACTATGCAGCTGTTAAGAAAGAGAGATCTCTTATCCTTTGAGACAACATGGAGGGACCTGGACAGTATTATGCTAAGTGAAATAAGCCAATCAGAGAAAGACAAATACCACATGATCTCACTTATTTGTGGAATATAATGAACAAAATTAACTGATAGACCTGAAGACATAGAAAGGAATATGGTTCAGACTGACGAACCTGGGGGGGGGGGTTGGATGAGATAAACCAAAGAACTTACATGCATGTATGTGTAACCAACGGACATAGACAACAATGCTGGGGAGTGCAGGGGTGGGATGGGGAGGAGGGTGTCTAGGGAGGGAAAGGAGAAACATCTGTAACAAAACTAAATTAATAAAAATTGAAAATAAATAAATAAAAAGTACCTATCACAGTTAACTCTAACCACTTAGCTCGCTACCTAAACTTGAAGTTCTGTCAATCATCTGTGTGGCCCCTGTGCTAAGACAGAAGAAACTCAACAGACTTGGAAAATTGAATGAATCCTTTGAATCATACCCAATTCATGGCTCATTCTTCACACTCTAATATCATATCAAGTTCTCATATACTTCAAGAAAAGCTCTGGCTTTTCCCACACACAAGGCCACTGTCCTTCATCAGACTCAAATGGAACCCCAAACCGAAACTACAGCTATCTCCTAACTGGGCCATCAAACTACCATTGCCACCAGAGCAATCCTCCTAAAATGCTACTCTAACCACATTACTCCTTGGCTCAGACACCTTCAGTGGTTTCCCTCTAGTTCCAGAATATAGTCCAAACCCCTTAGCATGCTGTCACTGCCTTCCCTGTCTGGATCTTTACTACCTTTCCATCATTTTTTTTAATCCTCACCTGAGGATATTTTTCCATTTATCTTCAGATAGAATGGGAGGGAAGAATGAAGGGAGGAAGAGAGAGCGCAAGAGAAACATCAATGTGAGAGAGACACATCAACCAGATGTCTCTGCACAGCACGACCAGGGCTGGGGATGAACCGCAACCAAGGTATGTGCCCTTGACCAAAATCGAACCTGCGACTCTTTGGTCCACGGGCTCATCCTCAAACCGCCGAGCCAAACCACCCAGGGCTATCGTTCCATCTTTATCTTCTACTACTTCCTATGTTCTAGTTCAGGGGAAGGCACACTACAGCCAGTAGGCCAAATCTATCCCACTGCCCATTTTGTAAATAAAGTTTTTTTTTAACATAGCCAAATAACATTTTGGGCCACATAATTCTTTGTTGTAGGGGGTTGTCCTGTGCATGTAGAATGTTTAACAGGATCTTTGGCCTCTATCCACTAGATTCCAATAGCACTTCCCCCATGTGAAAACCAAAAATGTCTCTAGAACATTGCCAAATGTCTCCTAGGGACAGAATTGGCCCCATTAAGAATCACTATTTTGGAGGTTTTCAAGCACAAGCTGAGAGTATAATGTTGCTGCTAATAAAATACAAACTATATAGTAATTGTAGTACAGTGTCCAGAATAAGAGATAAGAGTCACACAGTATTCAGTGCTAGTTGACTTATACTTGTGAGACTGTGCTCAATTATGAATTTTAAGAGAAATTTAGAAAACTGGAATTTATATAATCAAAAGGCTGATGAAAAACAAAGGGAAAATATCATAAGAGCGATATTTAAATAAATGGAGATGTTTAGCCTGTAAAGGTGACGATGAAGAGAAACCTATGCTCTTTAAATATCAGACAGGCTGTCCTGTGAGAGGAAGGTTTAACTTGTGTTGTTCAGGAAGGCAGAACTAGAAAGAGCAGGCAGCAACTGCAGGAAGGCAGATTTGGCTCTATACAAGTAAAAGCTTTCTAACAATCAGAGCTGGCCAAAAAATCTATTAGACTGAGCTGTGAAACACTGTGCTCTCCTCATTCTGGAAGTGTTTGAGCAGAGACCAGATGAACTGATGTCAGAGTCGCTACAGAGCGATTCCTGTATGGGGTAGGGAGGTAGGACAAGGTGGTCTCACCTGGGTTCCTTCCAGCTCTGAGATCCTAAGGCTAGCAAAGGAAAAGCCACATGTCCTAAATAATAAAATCCCCCAGTTTCAAGTCTTTAATTATAAGAAAAGAGAAAACTTATTTTGCCAAATAATTTACCCTATGTCTATTTGATAACATTTTACATTTAGTCCCTGGTACTGTGACCACCAGTGATCTATTTTTTCTAATTGACCTTTGATTAATTCCTGGATAATGTACATCTCTACCTTTAAACCACATCTTTTATTCTGATAATAATCACCAATAGAGTACAATGTTTTACAAGTTCCAAAGCACTGTGCCATGCATTACCTTACATTAGCTAAATATAAGCATGAAAACTTATTTTAGATAATCTGCTCTCATTTAGTGTCTCTTGCCTGAATTTCTTATGAAAGTTAGCCTTTCTTATTCATTAAACATTCACTAAAAAACATATTCCAGCAGATACTCATCTCCAAAACAAATCATTTATATACAACCCAGAAGTAAGCCAGAACTATAGTAATTTCAGCATCAAAAATAGAGATTTACTTCAGTGACATTTCTATTTTAGTTACGATTTAGGGAGGAAAATTTGAAAAATTATAATTGAGTTTTCCCAAATTTCAATGTAGCCTTATAAACCAGAAATTCCAGAAAGCAAGTCATAACAAAACACAAAGCATATGTACTGAGGAGCAAAGCCACTGCAGGGCCTAATTCCAGGGACTCCTTTATGTCCCCAGTGAAAATGGCCAACAAGGGTTGTGTAAGGACAAAGCCAAAATGAGCCCTCACCCACTGCTTTACTTACTTCTTTACGTTTCGTTTCTGGACATTCCGACTGCAGAGTGAGGGTTGCACCTTCGATATTTCTTGGCATGGGCGTGGAACCAGGGTTTATTGTTAAATGAATCTGATCTGGTGATATAATGTGCTGCACATAACCCTGGGACATTGCTTCATGATCAATTAGATGAAAGCCCTCTTCACCCCCTACTAGAAAAGGCAAGGGTTCTCCACACTGTCCATCATCATCTTCATCCTCCAAAGTGCCAGGGTCCTGCTCAATAAGAACAGTTGTCCTATCATAAACAGTTCCAGATGAGGAAGGCACCAGTCCGTTCTTATCCACAAACCTGAGCATCCTGTCATCGGGGGTCAGCTCATCTTCCTCTGCCTCAAAGTAGATGATGTTGTTGTCTGGACTGTGTTCCCCCATGGTTCAATTGTGCTCAGCCCAATTGTGAGAAATGGAAAGGTAATGACCTGTCTGCAGTAGAACAAAGCTAGAGTTAGAGACATACTACACAGGACCTCAGAACCTTCTCAACAACCACGGGCTCTTCTTTCCTCTCATTTCAAGAGCAGGTCAGAGTAAATGAAAAATCATCTTCCCTGGGAATAATGTTTAAAGTTCTACTTTGAAACCATCAAGTCATTTTAAAAGCAATGCCTTTTCAAAAAATTGAAGCAGTAACTAGCAGTTCACGAGACCTTCCAAAAGTGCCTTACTGCCAAACTGTTTGAAGGTTGGTCAACATACCTAAAGGGGATAAAAGAGCAAACTGCTTCAAGTCTGAGTTGCTATAAATCTTAAAAGTAAGGAAACCTCATTCAAATATACCCCTAAATCAAACCATGAGGCAGTGCAGTCTATGGTGGAAGGAGCAGAGTTTTGGAGGCAGGGTCACCTACCTATGATTTCCATTTTTACCAGTTACTACTTGGGGAACTTTTCTGTGCCTCATTTTTCTTATGTGCAAGGTGGGACTGGTAATTCCTGTTCTCTCAAAGGTGTTATGTGGAGTAAAAGTACATTAAAGCAACAGTAGAGGAAACAAGTGTGAATTCATTCCCTCCTTCCTAGAACAGATGTTTCAGCGTCTGGGTAGAGGGGCTGATCCCTAATCAGGCACCTCTACTGAAAATCATTTTATCTGTTTATCTCCTAAAACAATCTGGTATCCAGCAGAAGCTACGTTTGTACAGTGTGCTCCCTGCAGTAAAGGAATGATGAGTCTTATACTGTCCAAAGCACAGTACACTGACACTAGGAGTTCAGGAAATGTCAGCTAAATGACTGAACGATGTGAAGATATATTCTTTTGGGAAGATATGGTCTCTTGGGAAAAACACCAAATTTGAAGCTTTCCTGTTTTGGAATGGTGATTCTTCATGTACCTGTAAACACAGAGGTTCTACAAATGTGAGTTTGGCAGGCAGAACAGTGAATTTAAAAATAATCACTTCACTTTCAGTTTTCAGTCTGCATTTGTACTTTATCTTTCTCTTCTGCTCTTAATTAGAAAGTAAACCTTTTACGTAGTGGGGCGGCAAAGAGACAGGCCAAGGGATCGGATTCGGGAAGAACCCGCCCGACCCCATGCTCTGGCTTACGCAACTCGGCACATACACATTTCACTACATCTGAGAGGAGAGAGAAAAGTACCTAGGGCCCCAGCGAGCTGCCCAGGCACCACTGGCGGCAAAGCGGAGACCAACTGTCCGAAACAAACACGACCAGGAGGTTTGAGGATGGTAAACGAGGAGTACAAACAGAGCACCCCTGAGAGGAGGCTGGGAAAGGAACCTGTCTGGGATAGCTCCCAGCTCGGGCTACACGGAAAAATCTGAAGACAGGCTGGGGGGCTCCAAGCCTGGAGAAGAGGGGCAGGGTCCGGGTCTCCATGGAAACAGGGGAGGGGGCTGGATACCCATCCCCATGGAAACGGAGAAGGGGTGCGGTCCCTATGGTGACCAGACCGGGGTCTCTACTGGGAAATGCTTCAGGAGGGAGCCTAAGTTCCGCGCCCCCAGGGAAGTCCCCAGCCCAGGCCGCGTCTAGTTTCGCCTTTTACCTCCGCGGCTCCCGGCAACGGCGGCAGCGGCAGCTTCTCCCCTCCCCAGCGGCACCATGATTGCCCCCACCTTCCCCGAACGTCACTTCCGCTTCCGCTTTCCGGAGGAAGGAGGAGATACCGGTTTCGCGTCTCTCTGGCGCGTCTGGTTGGTTTAGGGGGCGTGGGGGCTGAGCTCGAGCTTCCAATTGGCGAGCGGGAGGGGCGGGGCACTGGGAGACGTAGCGGGACAGTAAGTTCGTCCCGCGCGAGGAAGTGCGCACCGCATCGGTCGTCCGCGGGGACTCCGGGCGTCAGTCCCGGCTCCAGGCTCATGGGAAGGGCGTCGAACCCCCACACCAATCCAGAGTATCCTCAGTCCGGCTTGCGTTGGTCGGCTTCGCATGGCAGCCACCACCGCAACAGAAAGGACCACAGTTAGGTATCCGAATTCCAACTGGGACGCTCCCGCCATTTCTCCGTGGCCCCAGCTTCCCCTCATCGCCCATCAAAGTTAATTAATATAGGCGGGAGGGTTCGAGAAAGGGAGATTGAGCCCAGCTGGCAGAACTAGGGGCTATTCACGCCCAGCCTGAGCACGCCGCCGCCTCTTCCCCGTCGAGTATGCGCTCATAAGCAGCGCCAGCCCCTCACCACTCCTGCCCAGCTGCCCCAACTTTCCCCAGGCTGCGGGCTCTCGGCTCCCAGCCGTGCTCGCGCCAGGGCCGGTCAACGCCATCTACTGGCCGCCTCCTTTCTTTCACCGTGCAAATTGTCATCCTACTGGCTCCTACCTAAGTTGGTCCGAAGGTTGTGGCTTACTGTTAAATTGGCTTCTATCTAAATCACATTTTACACTATTTTACGTAGTGGCGTTCCAGGGCCCAAGAAACCATTTTCGTGTGTTTTTTTTTCTAAAAAATTTTTTTCCCTTTATTGATTTCAGTGAGAGAGAGAACTATCAATGAGAGAGAACATCGATTGGCCACCTCCTGCATGCCCCCACTGGGGATCAGGCCCACAACCTGGGCGTATGTCCTGACCAGGAATCCAACCAGCGACCTTTTGGTGCAGGGGTCCATGCTCAACCACTGAGCCACACCAGCCAGACAAGAAGCAATTTTTTATTATGCCTTCATTATGCTCTTTTTTTAAAAATCCTCACCCGAGGACACTTTTGCATCTATCTTGAGACAGAATGGGAGGGAGAGAGGGAGGAAGAGAGAAACATTGATGCAAGAGAGACACATTGAGTGGCCGCCACCCACACAACCCCAACTGGGGCTGGGGACAAACCACAACCAAGGTACATACCCTTAGCAGGAACCAAACCCATGACTCTTCGGTCCACAGGCTGATGCTCTGATCGCTGAGCCAAACAGGCCAGGGCAGTTATGCTCCCATCTTTTCCAGACCCCTGGAAGATCTAGCTGTTAGAACCTCCCAGCAGCCACTGCCTGTTTTTCCCCTAAGGTACTTCTATGGAATATTTGAAGTGCAACAACCCCTAAAGACTAACTAGAAAAGGGATCAAGGTGCTCAGGCCATGCCTGTATTATCTCTTGTTTGAAAAATGTGAATAGCTCCCGGCAGGTGTGGCTCAGTGGATTGAGAGTTGTCCCATGGACTGAGAGGTCCAATTCAATTCCTGTTTGGGGCACATGTCCGGTTTGTAGGCTGGATCCCCAGTAGGGGATGTGCAGGAGGCAGTCAATTGATGTTTCTCATATCCATGTTTCTATCTCTTTCTCCCTCTCTCTCTAAAAATATCAATAAAAAACAAAAAAAGAGGAAAATGTGAATAGTGACTGTACCCACCAGACGCCAGGCAAATATCTCTTTGGCCCCTGACCAGTTTCCCCAATGCTTAAACTGCAAAGGTCCAGCTGCACAAAACTGCCATCTCTTAAGAAACAAAAACACAAACCACCACTGTTTAAAACATATTTATCATTAAAATATATTACACATATGAGAGAGGGGATGCATCATACACAGTTTAGAGGATTTGCTGGCCCAAAAAAATATCACTTGTTTAACCAGAACACTAATTTCTTCAGTATTTTCATTTTCAAACCACTGTATTGACTTCAGAGGCTGATTGGCCAGCCGGAGTTACTGCACCTCAGGTGAGCAGGAAAGGGGAAGACTTTGCATACACATACTCATGTCCTCAGAGTGCTGGAAGCATCTGAGTGGCTGTGACCTGTTTATCCAGCAGCTGCCACTTGCATTCTTTCTGTCCAACTCATTTTCCTTTCAATTCCAAAGTGTGTTCAAATATCTGATCATAGGGAGCTCAGCCCAGGCTTCCAGGAAGGCACTGACTATGCCCTGGAGGCAGGCTGAGTGAGCACAAGACGCACAATTACTTAAACATTTGTAAAATTTAAAAAGTAGAGCTCAGGCCAGTGTGAATCAGTTGGTTGGGTGTCGTCCTGTGCACCAAAAGATTGCCAGTTAGATTCCCAATTGGGGCACATGTCCAGGTTGCAGGCTCGATCCCTGGTGTGGGGGACATGCAGGCAGCGGCCCATGGAATATTTCACCCTCACGTTGATGTTTTTCTCTCTCTCTCCCCCTCTCCTTTCCTCTCTCTCAAAATCAATTTGAAAAAACTCTTTAAAAAAATAATAGAGATCTATCTGTGTTAAATTAACTAAAGTTGAACATCGACTGTCAGTTTTATTGTGGATCCCTCATGTCCTCACAACTCACAGCAGCACTGAGTGTGATAGCCATGGCCGGGGGAATAGCCAGGGCTCAGGAAACAGGCAGTTGCCACTCTTGCTTCCCAGTGGCCTCACATCCTCCTAAGGACACTCTTGAACTGAAACTGGGACTGGTAATTGGCTGCCTCAGGTAAAACAGAAAAGACAGAGGCTCAGGGTGAGTTGCAGAGGAACTGGTAAATAAATTCTTGAGCCTTCTTTTTCTCTGTCATTTCGAGCTTTTGGTGACCAGCTGGGTTTCGAAGCAGTAAGCTGCCAAATATGCTAGCTGCATGAAAAACACAGAAAACAAAGGATTCAGCAAGAGAAGGTACTAATTCTTTGTGTTATCAGGAGTGGGGAAGGGTGCCCAAAAGCAAATTTTCTGCTTTAAACACTATTTGAGGGTAAACTTTCCCCAAAGCGTGAGACTTTAGTTTTATTACAGTGGACTTGGAACCTTTCTCAATCACATTTCTCATGACGAGCCTCTCAGTTTGCAGAGACGCTTTCCGCAGACACTTGGCTACTTACCTAGAATGTTCTCGTCCAAGTGATTTTTTTCTGAAGATTTTAGCAACTCTTGCAAAAACGCCAGCAAGTAGTGGAAGACATTTTTGTGGAATGTGGGGAGAGTAGAAATGACCTGAAAGAGGCAGAATTGGGATTTATCATTTTGTTAATTCAATTATTTGTCAAG